AACTGATATGTTCAAGGCAACTAAGGGGAAAGAGTAACAAGTAAATGTACTTAAAATGCCCACACCAGATCAGGGAAAGTACTTGACAAAGGTATATTCTGTACAGCTAAGAGGATAAAACAAATGAACAAACATGTGGAACCTTCATTCCTCCAACCTATTCCATCCCTTCCTAAAGTCTAGATATAAAAAAAGTGATTGTGTCACCTATAAAGAACCTAAGGATGGAACAAGAGATGTTTGGCATGCTCCACTTAACTCCTGGCCATTATTGTCAGTACTAAAAAAATAAGTGGGTCTTGCTCTGACTAAATTCATTTCATTTCTGTTCTCACTGAGACTGTGGAGAGAAAGAGATTTAAATGCTAGCATTGTTAAGATCTTTTGGAAAGAATCATGTTCATCATTTAAAAATAATTCATTATGCTTTAAAATAAGAACATTATATTTATCTTTTTTTTTAGAGACAAAGTTTCACTTTATCGCCCTGGTAGAATGCCGTGATGTCACAGCTCATAGCAACCTCCAACTCCTGGGCTTAGGCGATTCTCTTGCCTCAGCCTCCTGAGTACTACTGGCGCCTGCCACAATGCCTGGCTTTGAACTCGTCACCCTCAGTATACGGGGCAATGCCCTGCCCACTGAGGACAGGCACTGACCTATATTTATCTTTTTAATTGTCAAAATTTTGTATCAAATTACTTGCAAAAAGCCAATAAAGATGGAAGAGACAAAATGTATTAGACAGTTCCAATAAATCTTCACAGTGAGATTACATAAAACCCAGCACATTTTCAATTACAAAGGCTACTACAACTCCAAACAGGTAGCCGTACTTACCTAAACTGTGTAAGAGCAGTAAAATATAGAAACTATAGAGTGCCATTATGAATCATTTTTATGGCCTGGACTATTCACATCAGGAAAAATAAGAGCTTCATGGGTTTGTCTTATACATTTCACAAGGTTTAAAAAAAGAAGACTCCAACAGGGAGTCACAGGGAAAGATTTGTGATGACTGTGACAAGGAAGAATAAAAATACAAACCTGAAAGGCCAACAGGACAGAGGTGGGAAGATACATAACAGGCACCACAGAAATTTGCTCTTAATATAAACAGCTATTTTCTGTAATCTTATTACATAAACATGTGGATCAGAATTGGATTATTGGCTATACATAGATCATACTGGATTAGCTCTCAAGAGCTACTGCAGAGCAGCACAGAGGGCAGGGACGTGGATTTGGGGTATGGCAGGAATGGACACTTGTGAACTACAGCTCTGCTACCTATTAGATGGCATGATTCTAAACAAGGTATTTTTGCTATAGGTTGGCTGGTTTCCCACTTTGTAAAATTAAGTAACAAAAATGCCCACACTGGCCAGGTACAGTGGCTCATGCCTATAATCCTAGCACTGTGGAAGGCTGAGGCAGGTAGATGGCTTGAGCTCAGAAGTTCAGGACCAGCCTGAGCAAGAGCAGGACCCCATCTCTACTAAAAACAGAAAAAACTAGCCAGGTGTTGTGGCAGGCACCTGTAGTCCCAGCAACTCAGGAAGTTAAGCCAAGAGGATCACTTGAGCCCAAGAATTTGAGGTTGTTGTGAGCTATGATGATACCATGGCACTCTACCCAGGGTGACAAAGTGAGATTCTTGTCTCCAAAAAAAAGGTACCCACACTGATAAGGTTGTTAGAAGATAACACATAAAAGTGCTGAATGAAGATTAAGCAGCTATTACTACTGTCATTACTTCTTAAATATCTGAGTATTAACATAGGCTGATATAAAACATAAAGGTAATGACAGACCCAAATCCTGAGATTTTCTCTAATTTTCAAAGCAAGGTGATGAGCAGAATTAATCAACAACCATTTTGAGGTGTTTAAAAGATGAAAATTCTAACAACTAGAGACTGATGCAGATCCTTTTTCCAGAGTAGATCACTAGCCCCTGCAAGACAGATCCCTCGAAGTGTCCACTCTTGTCACTTTTACTTACTGGTATTCACAACTGAGGAAAGAAAAGCTACTTCATGAAACTTAGTTACATAAATTTAATACCTTGGCTTCACTGCTTACAACTGGTTTTACAGGGAACTGGACTTCTGTGGCTTTTAATATCGTATTTTCTTGAAGAATGTCTTGTTGAGATTGATTGTGACCAAATGGCTAAAAAGCAAAAAGTTGAGAAATTTATCTCACAAAGTATTAAAAAAGCGATAGCATCAGTGAATCTCCAAAGCCTCAAATACAAATGATTTATGTTTTAAAATCTCGTCCTCCTTTATCGCCCTCTGTAGAGTGCTGTACCATCACAGCTCACAGCAACCTCCAGCTCCAGTTCGTGAGCTTAGGCGATTCTCTTGCCTCAGCCTCCCGAGTAGCTGGGACTACAGGCGCCCACCACAACACCCAGCTATTTTTTGTTGTTGCTGCAGTTTGGCCAGAGCCAGGTTTGAACCCCCTACCTTCAGTATATTGGGCTGGTGCTCTCCCTACCCACTGAGTCACAAGCACTGCCTCAGAAAACCTATCTACCTGATCTTCAACATAAACCCTGTAAGAAGAAAAGAATGCTGTTGAAATATAACACCTACAGTAACTTGCACTTCTGACTTTAATGTAAAAACAGGTTTGAGAAGAAGTAAAACTAAGTATTTTTTATTTGAATAGATTTAGGGGATACAAATGGTTTTTGTTATATGGATAAACTGCACAGTGGTGAAGTCAGGGCTCTTAGTGCACTAGTCAACTGACTAGTATACACATTACCTGATAGGTTGTTTTTGATCCCTCACTCCCTTCAATCTCCTCCCTTCTGAGTCCCCAAAGTCTATCATACTACTCTGTACAACCATGTGTAACTATCACTTAGCTCCTATTTTATTTTATTTTATTTTATTTTTTTTGAGACAGAGCCTCAAAGCTGTCCTCCTGGGCAGAGTGCCGTGGCATTACAGCTCACAGCAACCTCCAACTCCTGGGCTCAAGCGAGTCTCCTGCCTCCGCCTCCCAAGTAGCTGGG